AGTATTTCTTGAAATACTCAGGCCGTGTGCCATATTGTTTTTCAGGTAAAGGCAAGGCTCCCATGTACGGTTGACGGTGGCATCGTGATCAGAGACTGTGGCGCGTGCATAGGATAGTTGCATATTTAATTCCTAGTCTTGGTTAGGATAGGGCGTTTGCATTTCATTCATTTATATTAATTAATTTGTAATCGTTTTATTTTATCTTTTTGAACTCCAGCACGATGTTTGAAACACGTAAGTCCGGCAGTGTTTTCCAATGTTTTAATGTATTCTGAAGTTTTAAATTTTTCCGCTAATAAAGATGAGCATGCTTAGGTTTTTATTCTGCATTAGAGATGAGCATGAGACGTTAGTGGCGACTCTAGATATCAGAGCTCTAGGTTTTAGATTCTGTAGACTAGCCTACGATGTAGGCTTGGCACGCTCCACGGTCCCAACGTTGATGCCCCGTCACTGTCAGGTACGCCTTGCATAAGATAAGAAAAGAGAAACGTTATAAAACTCGCATGCATTTTTGTTTATGTTGACATTACTGAAAGGGTTGTGATATTTCACGTATTTATTTAAGAGTATGACGTCATGTGTTGCATGCTGAGTAATTTTGTTAATAGCATGATATGATGCTTAGCATAATGAATGTTTACTTCTTTGGCGTTACGATGTATTGTATAGTGTGCGTATTGTTATATATATATATATATGCATAGTATTAAGGCCTTAGACTTAAGCAACCTTATATTGGTTTATAGAACCATGCCCGGAGGACGAGGAAGAGGAAGAGGAAGACGAGGAAGGGGGCGACCCGTCGTAGAGAAGTAGGACGAGGTGTGGCAGTAGAGGGCCCACCTCAAGAAAGATTAGAGACTGGGCCGGTAACAGTTACGCCGCCCCCAGTCTTACCACCAGTTGAGCTACCTCCTCTAGCTCCACTACAAGCTGAGCCTCCACCACAAGTAGAACCTCCACCCCAGCCTACCCTACCACTCCAAGTCACACCTGAAGCTGCACCCCCAGTGGGTGGAGTAGATGCTAATACTAGGTTAATGTGTGACTCCATCCAAGCCCTAATTCAAACCTTGGTAACCAATCAGCAAGCCAGTCTACAACAGGCCCAAGAACAAGCCCAAGCACAGGCCCAGGCACAGGCGTTGGCACAGGCACAGGCACAGGCACAGGCACAGGCACAGGCACAAGCACAGGCCACTGCTCAGGCCAATGCCCCAGTAAACCCTCCACAACCTGTTAGATGTTCAAACTGGATAAGGGATTTCAAGAGATACGACCCTCGACCATTCACTGGTTCCCTGGTAGACCCCATAGAAGCCCAAATGTGGATTGCAGCGGTGGAAACCACCTTTGAAACTATGGAGTGCCCAGAGAACCAAAAGGTCGCCTGTGCAACCTTCGTCCTACAAAAGGACGCAGAGATATGGTGGAGAGGTACCAAAACCCTCAACCCAGAAGGGGGACCAATGAACTGGGAACGATTTAAGAAGGCCTTCCTTAAAGAATATTATCCTAAGTCAGAGCGACTTAAAAGGCAGCAGGAGTTCGCCCACCTAGTACAGGGAGGACTCACAGTGGAGAAGTACAACAGAGAGTTTAATAAACTCAAGAGATTTGCACCGTCCATGGTGGACATTGAGGAAAAGATGACAGAGAAATTTGTATTGGGTTTGGAACCAAGAATCCGCTGCATGTTGGAGGCGTTCAACCCAAAGACCTATGAGGAAGCCTGGAGAGCTGCCAAGGCTTTAGAGAAACCAAAGGATGAGAAATAACGTGAAGAGCCAGTTATAATTGGGCAGAAGCATCCTCATGAATCAGGAGGTGCTGACCGTCCACCACCAGCACGTAGGCACCGTTCCAATAACAGACCCGCTCCTAGATGGGATGAGCGACGCCCTCCCCGACATACTGACAGGAACCCCAGGAATCAAGATGGGGCCAGAGGGAGGAGAGAGAAAGGGTGCACTATCTGTGGAAGACTACACGGTGGGAGGTGCATGGCTGGCAGCCGAGCGTGTTATAGATGTGGTCAAGAGGGGCACATCGCCGTGAACTGCACAGCCGGAAATGCTGCAGCACAAGCAAACCCGCCCAGAGTAGTAGAGCAAACGGATCAACCAGCACCACCGCGAGCTCAAGCTAGGGCATACGCGTCAACCAGCAAGGACACTGGGAGGTCCGACGCCGTGGTGACAGGTACACTATCCATTTTAGGTCATTTCGCTTTTACCTTATTTGATTCTGGTTCCACGCATTCCTTTATTTCCATGCCTTTTGTTGTACAAGCAGGGTTCAAATTAGAACCCTTATTGCATGAAATGTCTGTAAGCACCCCTGCGGGGGTAGACTTAGTATCTAGGGATAGAGTAAAGGATGGCCAAGTAATCATAGGGAACCAAACTTTAACGTTGACCTGATGGTGGTAAACATGACAAATTTCGACGTCATACTAGGCATGGATTGGTTAGCTGAAAATCGAGCTAGTATAGACAGTCGCAAAAAAGAAGTAAAATTTTCACCACCGATAGGATCTACCTTTAAATTTAAAGGCACAAATACCAGGATTACCCCCAAGGTAGTCTCGATGATGAAAGCAAAGAGGTTATTCCAACAAGGTGGATGGGCTATATTAGCATGTGCTGTAGACGTGAGAGGAAAGGAAGAGACCCTAGTAAACGTGCCAATAGTAAACGAGTTCCCGGATGTATTTCCGGATGACTTACCTGGAATACCCCCTTCCCAAGCGGTCGACTTCGTCATCGAACTCGAGCCGGAAACTGGGCCTATTTCCAAAGCACCCTATCGCATGACGCCAGCAGAGTTGAAGGAACTCAAGGCGCAACTGCAAGACTTACTAGATAAAGGATTCATTCGACCTAGCGTGTCCCCCTGGGTGCGCCAGTGTTGTTTGTTAAGAAGAAAGATGGATCGATGCGTCTGTGCATCGATTACAGAGAGCTAAACAAGAGAACCATAAAAAACAAATATCCTCTGCCTAGAATAGAAGACTTGTTTGATCAACTCAGAGAAGCAACAGTATTCTCTAAGATAGATCTTCGGTCCGGTTACCACCAAATTAGGATTAATGAAAAAGACGTACCAAAAACAGCGTTTAGGACAAGGTACGGTCACTACGAGTTTGTAGTGATGTCATTTGGCCTCACCAATGCCCCAGCTGTATTTATGGAGTTAATGAACCGGGTATTCAAAGAATGCCTAGACATGTTTGTGATTGTGTTCATTGACGACATCCTCATATACTCGAGAACCGACCTAGAGCATGAGGAACACCTCCGAAAAGTCCTAACCACCCTAAGAGAGCACAAGTTGTACGCCAAGTTCTCCAAATGCGAATTTTGGTTACGACAAGTCTCTTTCCTAGGACACGTGGTGTCAAAGGACGGAATATCTGTAGATCTCACCAAGGTCGAAGCAATTACAAAGTGGGAACGCCCAACTACGGTAACAGAAGTAAGGAGTTTCCTAGGATTGGCGGGATATTATCGAAGGTTTGTACAGGACTTCGCTAAAATATCCTCGCATTTAACAAAGTTAACAAAAAAAGGGGTGCCATTTAGATGGGATGATGCTTGTGAGGCAAGCTTCCAGAACCTAAAAGAGAGATTGGTAACCGCCCCGGTACTCATAGTACCCGAGAGCTCAGAAGGATATGTGATCTATAGTGATGCCTCCATGAAAGGACTGGGATGTGTGTTAATGCAACACGGCAAGGTTGTCGCATACGCATCTCGTCAACTTAAAGAATATGAAAAGAACTACCCTACCCATGACCTAGAGTTGGCCGCTGTAGTGTTCGCGCTGAAAATCTGGCGACATTACTTGTATGGCGAGAAAACCCAAATTTTTACCGACCACAAAAGATTGAAATACTTCTTCACCTAGAAAGAGTTAAACATGAGGCAGAGAAGGTGGTTAGAATTGGTGAAGGATTATGACGTAGATATCCAGTACCACCCTGGGAAAGCAAATGTGGTTGCAGATGCCTTGAGTAGGAAGACAGTCCACTCGTCGGCCCTCATTACGAGGGAAGTAAGGGTACAAAGAGAGTTCGAGCGAGCCAACATAGCTGTAGCGACCGAGGGAGTCATAGCACAGCTGGCCCGACTCACGGTACAACCTACGCTTAGGCAGAGAATTATTGCCTCCCAACGAGAGGATCCTAACCTACAGAAAGTCCTAGGACAACTAGACGAAAGTCCAGTAGATGGATTCTCGAAGTCATCATATGAAGGACTATTGTATCAGGGACGCTTATGTGTTCCGGCAATAGAAGATTTAAGGAAGGAAATACTGATGGAAGCTCACAACTCACCATTTGCGATGCATCCAAGAGGTACTAAGATGTACCAAGATTTAAAACAACACTTTTGGTGGAAGAGCATGTAGAGGGATGTGGCCGGGTTTGTGAGCAAGTGCTTAGTTTGTCAACAAGTGAAAGCTCCAAGACAAAAGACGGCGGGG